TTCCGGCGAGGGGGAGAGGATTCCGGCGAGTGGTTTTGAATTTTCTGACCACTCGGTCGTGTCAGCCGAATGTATAGCCCGTGGCTCGGCCACACGGGCAGGCTGACACGGCCGTGTGAGGTGCACACGTGCCCGTGTCGGCCGACACGGGCAGGCCGAGGATTTCCACACGGCCGTGTGAAAAGCGCACCTGGCCGTGTGGAATTTGCCGAGAGCTCACACGGCCAAAGGGTTAAATCCACACGGCCGTGTGAGCAAATGAGATGTCCGTGTCGGCCACACGGCCAGGCCGAGGCAAGCCACACGGCCGTGCCAATTGCACATTTGGCCGTGTGGAATTTGCCGAGAGCTCACACGGCCAAGGGGTAAAATCCACACGGCCGTGTGAGTTTCAGGCCTGGCCGTGTGAACTGCTGGAGCCCCGAATTCAACCTGTTTTCACTCAAAAATGACATTCGACTCTGGAACAACACCTCAAGACTAAAAAAAAGCACAAAAAAGAAAAGGAAAAAAGTTAAAAAAATGCAAACCTCGGTGGGGTTGCCTCCCCACAAGCGCTTCTTTACCGTCTTTTAGCTGAACGCCAGTCGGTGGATGCTCAGAGAAGTGTAGGATCAGGTGCCTTCAAGAGGGGATCCACATCGCTCTTGAGGTACAGCTTCAAATGGTGGCCATGCACACGACGAATGTGGCCACCAGCATTCGCCAACTCGACTTGGCCATCCGGCAAGATGCAAGCGAGTGAATACTCAGATGGCCAAGGTGGGGGCGGGACCAGCTCGTAGTGGTCTCCGGTTTTCTTTCTAGCAGGCTTAGCTGCCTGCAGTTTTAGCCGCCACTCCTCCTTGATCTGTTCTTTTGGTGACGGAGTGGACGGGAGTGGCGGCGAAGGTATGGGAGGCGGATCCTGCAAAATAGGAAACACAGAAGGATACACGACCGACTCGTTCTCCTGGTGAGATACAGCATGCAGAGGTGACGAAGCAGGTAGAGTATTAGCAATTGAAAACGTTATTCGCTCCTCGCCATCCCTCAAAACTAAGGTCCCATCATGCACATCTATGAGAGCCTTGGCGGTGGCCAGGAAAGGCCTTCCCAGTATAAGGGGCACTTCTGTGTCCTCATTGATGTCTAGGATAACAAAATCCACAGGATAATTGAATTTGCCAACCTTAACCAGAAGGTCTTCCACTATGCCCCTAGGATGCACTACAGATCGGTCAGCTAATTGAAGGTTCATCCTAGTAGCACGGAGTTCACCTAGGCCTAGTTTCTTGAACAATTTATACGGCATAACATTGATACTAGCACCTAAATCCGCCAAGGACCTCTCTACATGCAATTTATCTATAGAGCACGGGATAGTAAAACTACTTGGGTCCTTCTGCTTCTGCGGAAGCTTGTTCTGCAGAATAGCCGAGCACTCCTCGTTGAGCTCCATAGTGGCCAGCTCACTCAGCTTCTGCTTCTTTGAGAGAAGATCTTTCAGAAACTTCGCATACTTAGGCATTTGAGATAGTGCCTCCAGGAAGGGCACTTGGACATTCAGCTTCCTAAGCATGGACATGAAGTTTTCAAATTCTGCCTCCAGCCTGTCTTTGTGCAACCGAGTAGGGAATGGGAGTTTCGGGATATACTCCTACACTACCAGTTGCGGCTTAGGTGCAGGCACCTCAACCTCATTCTCTACTTCTTCTTCAGCCGCTGGAGATGCCGAGACATGGGCCTCTCTCTTTTCTGCCCGAACAGGTGGATCAGCAGTCATCTTGCCACTCCTGGTTGTGATGGCATTGCAGTGCTCATTCGGGTTCTGCGGATGAGGGATGGTCTGACCGGGTAGAGTACCAGGAGCCCTTTGTGCCACTGCCTGAGCCACGCTCCCCAGCTGGGTTTGGATATCCTGCAAGACAGCCTGTGTGTTCCTCTGGCCAGCTTCAAGAGCCAGGAATTTACCCGAGGCCTTTTCCATGAATTGCTCGATAGTGTTGAATTTCTGAGCACTAGAACTGGCGAGAGAACCCACCAAGTCCTGCAATTCAGCCATCTGATCATTCTGCACTGGGGTAGCAGGGGCTGCACCTGGCTGCAGGAAAGGTCGCGGCTGTGATTGAGCAGCATGCCCCTGCATGGGCTGGTAGAGAGACTGTTGCTGCTGCTGCAATTGCCCCTGTCTGGGCTGATATGGCGGCCTTTGGAAGCCCGGTGGTCTGGAATTTGCCCCACCCCTGGAGAAGTTGGGATGCTGGCGCCACCCCTCGTTGTAAGTGTTACTGTAGGGGTCATTGCGCCTGACATTATTGATGAAGTTCACCTGCTCCTGGGGTGTGGTCGATTCCTTCATCGCCTGGCAGTCTTCCATCGTGTGATGGGTGCTCTCGCACTAGTGGCAGAGCATCGCCTGCTGCTGTCCGATCCCTGGAATCATCCCGGAACGATCGATAGCTGAAACCAGCTTCGATACTATCTGCACCAAATCAGAGGGATGGGTTCCCACAGAATGTACACCCCGGCTTGGTGCTCTCCTCGACCTCCTAGCACTTCCCCAATCATACACGTTCTCTGCCATCTCCTCAAAGAGTTGATTCAGTTGTTGCGGTGTTTTGGTCAGCATGTTCCCGCCACAAACCGAGTCAATCAGTTGCTTGTCTTCTGGGAAGAGGGCGTGATAGAAGGTGCCCACCTTGAAAGCATCATTGAAGCCATGATTTGGACACCTCGGGAAGAGACTGTTGTATCTCTCCCAAGCATCCCTGATGATCTCATCCTCATCCTGAGCAAAATGAGTAATTTGCTTCTGCAGGTCAGCCGTCTTGGATGGAGGATGGTAGCGGGTGAGGAACTTGTCCGCCAGGTTGGCGAACGTGGTGATAGAGCCCGGAGCTCGAGTTTCTAGCCACTCCTTTGTCTGCCCCTCCAGAGTAAATGGGAAGTACCTCAGCTGGATGGCATCTGCTGGGACCCCATTTATCTTGATTCCATCAATCAGCTCCTGGAATCGCCTCAGATGCGATCGGGGGCACTCACCCTCCTTGCCACGGAACACCACTGAACCGCGCAGCATGGTGATTACTGAGGTGATCACCTCAAAATTGTTGGCGGGGACATGAGGGTGTTGAATGGGTGACCTCATGTCCGCGGCTCTGGCGGTCCAGTAGGATCCCATGTTCTGCTCCTCTGGATTGATCACATTATGGTTCTGTGGATCAGCCATCTCCTCTTCGTCAGTGATCTACAGTTGTGCTAGCGCCTCCTCCGCAGCCAGTCGCGCCTTTAGAGCCCGCTTGAAGTTCCTGCAGGTCCGTTCAAGCTCCTGGTCTAATGGTAGTAGTTCTCCTGACTGGCTACGGGTCATGCACTAACTGCACATAATCAGCAAAAGCAACCCGTGAAGGCACACAGGTGGAAGAGAAAACAATGCAGTAAAGAAAAAGCTAGAGTAACAAATTCTCACGTTTCCCCAATAACCTAGAGGGTTCCCCGGCAACGGCGCCAAAAACTTGATTAGGTCAACAGAGCACCATACTGCGACCAAGTGTAATCGCAGTCCGGGAATGCAGTAACAGGCAAGTTCTATTATCAACCCGGGGTCTAGATCTACTGCTTACTCCGTGATTATATATTATCTAGCCAACTAAGTCGAGTGATTGTTGTTTAAAGTAAAAGCAGTTAGAAAGCAGGAAATGGTTCGATTTTCTAAAGCAGGGAAGAGTCACTCAGGAAATGAGTCCCCCTAGCTCCTTAGTTAGGTTTCAATTGTAATTACCCTGGGTTAATTTACTATTGATTAAACTGCGGAAGATCCGACAGTAGCTTGGAATCTCTTAAGCTGACCAAGCCCTCTCAGTCTAACTACCCGGCAGACGACTAGTCTTCACCGGATGAGAAAGCTGAGGCTATGAACACAGAACTCCACTACTGGAATTGGATTCCAGTACAAAGCAGTAAACTGGCTAACTCTCGTATAACCAATCTCCTACTATCGAATGAAGAAGCTCTAACAACCTAATCAGATTCTATCTATCTCAGGTTGCAGTAGAAATCAAGAAAAGCTGATCAGACTTCAATCAATTCAATAAAACATGCATCATTCGATTAAAACCAAACAGTACAATCATCCCAAGTCATTACAATCAAATCCCTAACACATGGAACTAGGGTTCTTCATACCCAAGTGAGAGAAGGGTTCTACTCCATAGAGAGAGAGAGAGAGGAAAACAGAAATCAGAGTAGTCATACTCATAAAGATGAGGAAAATCTGCTCTGGGATGATGATTTCCACTCCTATGACGATCTCCAAGCTCGATTCGATGAAACCCAGCTCCAAGATAGCTTCTAGGATGTGTTCTTCGCACTTTCTCTCTCTAGGGCTATGTTTTTGCTCTGAAAATTCGATTCTCGCTTGTGGCCCGAAATTGGGTAAAAACCTGAAAATCCCGATCACACGGGCAGGCCACACGGCCGTGTGGCATACCCAGTTGACCGTGTGGCTTCCAAAACGCCGCGTCTCGATAAGTCAAACTTCAGGCTTCCCACACGGCCGTGTGGAAATTCTTTGTGCCCGTGTGAAGGCTCGCATAATCCCACACGGCCACATTGGTCACTTGCACGGCCGTGTGGTGTTTGTGTGTGCCTGTGTGGCTTCCTCAGCGGCTTGCCTCGCGCCCGATCTTCGTCCAATCGACCCCGAACTCGCTCCTAAACCTTCATTCACTTACTAGGACCTAAAATATCACAAACAAGCACAACCTAGCGTGAAATCGGCCTAAAACACGAGAATCAACACCTCAAACGGCTCAAGAATAGGGGTGAAAACATGTGTAATTAACGGTCTATCAGGCAACCCATCTTTTTAGGATCGTGATGGTCCCTAAAATACTTCGTGAATCAAGTGATTGATACTTGGCCTTTCCTCAATGGTGGCAAGAGATCCATCACATCAACGCTACCCTTGGTTGGTACTTTCACCCCCAAAACACTATGGATGAAATACTGCCAACCGGTCATACCGTCACGATCCTCGGGGGATGATCACTTACACACACCGCTTTGCCGTCGATAGGCAGATGAGTTAGGATGGCGACGTCCTTGAGTGTGATGGTGCACTCCCCTTCACGAAAGTTGAAACAATGCGTCTCCATTCTCCATCTCTCCACCAATGCGGTGATGAGTTGGCGATCGACTTTAATTCCTACAAAATGCCTAATCGACTCCAACCGTGCCCTTTTGAGATAGGGCAAGATAACTGGGTTCCATGGGAGCACATTGGTCCTACCCCTATAGCGGAGTATTTGTTGTGCCTCCTAGGAAAAATTTCAACGTTATTTATGATATATTAGTAACATTTTAGTCTTATAACTAAATAAATTAACATTAATGATTTAATTTCAACCATTATTAAAATTATTTATGATATATTAGTAATAGTTTGGTCTTATAAATAAATTTATTAAAATTAATGATTTAATTTCAAATATAATTCTATTATAATTATATTATTAACAATCAAATTTAAGTAATTTGCGGTTTTTTCCAAGATATATACATATTATCATAAAACAAACATACTAAATTAATTGACATAAATAAAATTCTAAATGAATAATAGTTTAAAGAGATACATACATATTCAAACATTTGAAATTAATAAAATTTATTTAAGTACACATAAACATATATCGGATTGGTTGTTTGGTAAGTAATTTAATCGTATTGGTAGTTTTAAATAATTTAATCGAATACAATGCAACACTCGTTAGACTCTTAGAAGAGGTGTACATCTTCTTAGAAAAGCAGCTTTTTTGACAGAAAAAGGGGGGATCCGAGGATCTCTTAATACCCGATTTTCCCAGGAAATGGGAGGATCATGATAATCGCTTAAATCCCCATTTCCTTAGACGTGCATCTCTTTATTAAGTGGCGCTATGTATTCGATTAAATTATTGAAAACAACCAATACGATTAAATTATTTCAAATCTAATTTATATTCCACTAAGTATATTAGCAAAATAATAAAAAAGATAAATGATGAAGAATTGTATGTACCGGGTGATCGTTCCAAACATCCCTTGAATGATGGTTGGGTTGGTCATACAAGTCGGTCGGATCAATAGGCCCTTGATCCAAATAGTACCGTTGGTTGTATATATTCACGTCGTCTCCAACCTACGAGAGAATAACAACAAGGTTAGTACATAGATTAATTAAAAACCTTATAACAAAAACAAAAATTGACCAAAATAATGAGTACGTACCGCTTGAAATTCATCATAATAAACTCCCTCTCCTTGGAACCACTCGTCCATTTTCTCGCGAAAGTCGGACAGAAATTCGGCGAGTTTTGAGGGAAAAAAACAAAGAAATGTTTTCTGATGGCAAATCGGACATAGCTGCAACCAACAGACCACTATTTCCTAGACTTTTGGGAGGGGAGGGGAGGGGTTCGAGAGACTAATTCTAGAGAGAGAGAATGGAGAATGGTTGTGGTGTTGAAAAATGAGAGGGGGGAGGGGGTATTTATACCCATCAGACCGCACCCTCCAGGGGCGGTCTGGTAATTTTTTCCCAGGTCAAACCGCACCCTACCGAGGTGGTTTACATTTCCCGAAGCTTGACCGCTCCCTGGCGCTGCGGTCTTCGATCTGTGGCAAGGATCGCTGAGGTGGCAAGCGGTCCGCCACTAGATCGCTTCCTCATCCTGCGGTCTCCAAGGTCGCTGCCCACCAAACACAGACCGCACCTCCAAGGTGCGATTTCCAGTCTGACGTGGACTAAAACGCACCTCCAAGATGCGGTTTATACATAAAATGCACCTGGAGGGTGCGGTTTAGTTATAAAACACACCTGGAGAGTGCAGTTTAGTTATAAAACGCACCTTGGAGGTGCGGTTTGATAAAAATGGTGCTATTTTTGTAAATGTTGTGGGCTAGATGCTATTTTTTGTAAAAAAAAATTAATAGGTGCTATTATTGGAAAAATCCCTGGATTTAGCCTATATATGTATTTTTTTCACTCATTTAGATCATAAATATGATAAATCCAATATCGAAAAATAGTTTTCGTACTTTTAAACGTCAAACTCAAATTCAACTTACTATCCTCTTTCACACTTCTTACATAAAACAAATATATCAATGTCCCGAGGCTAGCTAGACTGCAAAATGGACAACTTGAAGAAATGGACGGTTGGTTAATTTGTCGAGCTTGGGGTCATGACAAGACAAAAGAAAGGAGAACGACATATATAAGGTAGACCCTCTCGGTCACAGCCGCCGCCCCTGCATTGCAATTATTTGGGGTTCAGTCTCATGAATGAAAATTGAAAAAGAAGCATTAGATGATGATATGATGGTATATTTCCAGAATTTCAATCCGTTGTTGTCTATGTCAAAGTTTAACCACCTTCGACTTAAATATATTTCCAAAATCCTCAAGTAAATTATTACAACATTTATCCATAACTATTTTCTAGCTATAGTACCTTCTCAATTATTTTTTGTTGATTGTTGATGCAAAGTTTCGAACTCCCTATGTGGTGAATTTTCTTATTCTCACATTATCATTAGACCAACTTATTAAGGTAACCCTCCTGTGTGGTGAATTTTCTTATTCTCACATTATCATTAGACCAACTTATTAAGGTAACCCCAATTTGTTGAGAGACGGTAACTCCTCGATTTTGAGTACATAGTATAATCTTCGGTTGATAATTCATTTTTTCTCAAAAAAAAAAAAGAGAAGACTGCAAGTTCAGGTGTAAATTGTAGTAAGTGGCGTAATCGAAGCAAAAATGATGTTTGAAATGAAAAATTAAGGGTGCAAATAGTGAATTATATTATTAGAAAATAAAATTATAATTTATTATAATAAAATATTCAGACACATAAATAAATATTAAATAAAAAATAATTAAATTATGTTCATAAATACATATAAATATGCTCAAATATATTTAATTACTGAGATAATAATTCTTAAATAGTAATTAAATAAAAATCATATAATATTATTGAGCCTATAAACAATACATGCATTGTTTGCTTGATGTGATAGAAACTATAACTCAAAATGAGTGATAATACTATTTCTACTAAACTTGAGATTGTTGAGATTGTGTTTGAGTAGATTGTTTGGTTCCTTTTTTAGTCCAAGTATAACCCTAGTTATATATATATGGTCTCATAAAAGCAAGGGCAAAAGTGATATTTCTCACAAAAAATAATATAACATGTTGAATACTAAAAGAACTATCACCAAAACCAAACAATGTAAAGTACATTACATTATTTTTCCTAAATTAAATGTACATTACAATACATGCATTAACCACAATGCATAGATTATGATTTTTGGCTCACACGTGTTTGTCGTATCAGTCAGAATAATATTATCTGTAATTTTACTTTTCAATTTGAAAAATAATTTCAATTCTAAAAATTTGAAAAAGCTTGTTCCTGACAATTTAATCCATTCGAGACTCATAAAAGGGATGGCTCATACTTTGGTCGATGCTCCACCAAATTATAAGGGTTAATAAATTTGTATGGCCTGAACTTTGATCAAAATAAAAATCATGGCCAATCTTTTCGATCTATAACATCTTGGCACAAATTATACATCAAAATAACTAAATTGGTCAAACCCGATGTTTGACCGTTAACTTGGATGATCAAATGTGTTGACTAACGGTCAACGCGCCACATCACCGCCCAGTCAGCATAAAATTGTTGAAGAATTCAAAAATGGCACATAATATCATTATTTTAATTAAGTTAAAAATAAATATAAAAAGAAAAAGAACAATAAAAGAGATAAATGGTAATAGGTGGAAAAAATCAATTTTTTTAAGTGTTCTGTGCTGACTGGGCGATGATATGGCGCGTTGACCGTTAGTCAATACGTTTGACCGTCCAAGTTAACGGTCAAACGTCGGGTTTGATCAATTTAGCTATTTTGATGTATAATTTGGGCCAGGATGTTATAGATGAAAGAATTAGTCTGGATGTTTATTTGGTCAAAGTTTAGATATACAAATATATTAATCCAAATTTTATCAGACTCTTGTGATTTCGATGTTCCTAAGCGCCTTTGTGGTGAAGTAGACTCAAATTTTCCACAACACCCCACTACCTAAGCGCGACGGCCTAGATCTGATCGGACCAGTCCACCACCTATTCAATTTAGATTTACTGATTTAGATTTAGACGGGCTCTCTCTCTCTCTCTCTCTCTCTCTCGAGTCACGATCCATAATTGTCTTTGTTTGGTTGAATAATTATTTTTGTTTGACAATTAGTTTAATAACAACCCAAGGGGGCAAACCTCGAAAGCTCCCTTGGATGACGTAAGCCTTCTGACGTCCAACAATGACATGGGCAGTCCTCCGTCAGCTTCCGCCCTCGACGTCGTCATTCACGCGCTCTTCTTCCTCCTGTGTCACTCACTTCCTTCCCTACTTCCTCTTTCCATGTAGTCCAAAATGTAAATTCATTTTATATATGAACTAGTAAATAAATTAAATAAATACCTTGTAATATCACAATTTTTTTTATTTTTACATAGAGCATTTTGGTACAGTTGAATAGAGGTATACATCACTCCAAAAAAATAAAGGTATACAGGTCGGATGATTAAGGTTTAGTTATTTTAATCATTACACTCATATATTTTGATTTTGAAAATGTTAAATTATTTATAAAAAAAGAAACCTATAATTTTTTATGATTGGATTGAGTCAGGTGGGTTATACATTTAAGTAAAATCCAACCAACACTAAATTTTTTTTATATAATTAAATATTTAAGCAAATAAACCAAAGTGAAAACGTCAAAATGCATATAAGTTGTTGCTTGAATCTTGACGAAGTACAATTTGCTTCAGCATATGTCTTGTATATAATATAATCCATAAATATTTACCAAAATAAGGTAAAAACATTATTCATTATAAGCTAACACATCCATAAAATATATTTTTTCCTAGAATTGTATAAACAAACAATAACGAGAATCATAGCATATATTACAATATTACATGTAAGTCTAAGTTTTATAACGGCAAGGGTATGGCCTAGTGATAATACTACTAGTCCAAAATCTGGAGGTCCCGTGCTCGGATCCCCTCAATAGCACCTAATTATAAAAATCAACATATTTAACTGTTATCTTAGAAAAATTAGAATGGAAAATCCAATACTAGAGGGATTTGTCATGTCGATAATGACTTGTGCCGAATGTTTTATGGCTTATAACGACAGTTTTGCTCACTTGTCAAAGCTAATATTTTGTGATGTTTGTATTTGAAGAATGCATTATGTTAGCGAGAACATGAGAAAAAATATTACATAATATCATAATTCTCTCTATATAATTACATTGCGGATTGGATTGGGTATGTAATCTGCATGTATAAAACCCTCACCCAAATACAAGTGGGTTGGATTAGATTTGGCGGGTGGGTCGACTAGGCTTATTTTTGTTCACTCCTACACTTGATCTATAGATCGTTAATCTGCATGTATAATAGCATTTATATTTTGAAAGCATGTGACGTGATTCTGTTGATTTTCATAGTCTAAAAATTAATTAACGAGACTAAGTGATCTAGCTATACAGTCTTGTCAGTGGTCACCAAAAACTACTTTTTCATATTGATAAGTTGTAAGAATCAAAATTTGAGTGTACGTCATGCTCTAACCTCCATATTTTATCATTCAAGCCAACATTTTATTGGTTGTCGACTCTAATTTTTGTGATATGAATCGAACTGAGTTATGCCCCAATAATACTTTATGTAATTATTGACAAAACACTAAGATATCTGTTTCTAAAATTGGCCATTGCAGTGACGGAGATTATGCTATAAAGAAATTGTGTGAAATTAGACAGATTTTTTTCTCTCGATTTTATTCAATTCATCAAAATATATTCTTTTTATTTTGTCTGTCACTTTACTAGTAAAAATAAGATGCACATTTTATTTATGATGAACGTTATATTAATTATATGAAGAAGAAAATAACTAATAAAAAATACAAGATCATATATGGTACAAGTTGAACTTGTGCCTTTAACGTTATAATACAAATTCAGTTAGTGAAAATATATTTTCATACAAATTCTTTCATGGTAAAAAATGAACTTGTACCTTTAACATTATGGTAGAAAGTCAGCGAATACCTGAAAGCATCAATACTTTGTAGCATAGTAGATGGGCAATAATAAGAATACTATAGTTCATTAGAAAAATGCAACTGGTTGTTAGAGAAGTTATTGTTGTTGCAACTAGTTGCTGGAGACGAAATGCATACGGGTGGCATACACAAATGTGGAATGATAAGACCTATAAGATACTCCGCTAGTGGTAATGGATCTATGACAGTCTTTAATTTAAGAAATATCAATTTTCTAAGGAAAATTGTTAATAGATTACATGATCATCAATGAGTATATACAATTATTCTTATGGTGTTGCTGGAGCAAGTTGAAGAAAGTGAAAGTTATACTTATAACCTCTATTTGGAAATTGAAAACAATAAATTTTTTTTCTTCTTCAAAACATGCAGTACGATATTTGACACTTCATCGAATATTATATCTATAACGAATTACTTGCGGGGCAGAAGGACGACGATAATCGGCTCGCGCATGACACTCTCTGTGGCTTAGCTAGCTCCCTATGCATTTATAAGTTCAATTTTGTGGCGTTTGCGATGACAGAAGTTTACTAATTACAATTCAAAATGCATTGGCTATTTGAGGCAAATTGTTGGTGTGCAAGTTGCAAGTAGCTAGGTGGCAGAGACAAAATGCACATGGCTGGCATAGACAAATATGGTGTATAAGTATATTTAAGACCTGTAAAGCTATTGATCAAGTAGTGTTGTCAAGATATATCTAATTAAGGCGAATCATAATGTAAGAAATATAAATTTGTTGGTACTGCCTGCGGCCTTGAGCTTGACAGAGGGGGGAGGAGACAGTATAGCAACGGGAATTAGATTAAGATTACTCAAATCAGAGTTAATAAACTAATTAAATTAATAGCTTGTATAGTACTTGCTATTCTTCCCTCTTCCTTCTCTGCTCCAAAACCAAAGTGGTAATAATAATAACAAGATTAAAAGATCGTACTCAAATGCGAGATGGAAGCAGGAAGACTACCAATCCATTCCTGAAACGCGATATCCCGATTAGGACAGGACGCTTCTTCCGGTCTTAGCTAGAATAAGATATTACACTGTTATCAGCTACTTGTGCCAAGAAACGAACAAACACAGTCAATGCGAGTAAAAAGATGCGGGAAAGAGTGAAGTTTCGCCCCGACCTTCATCCAATCCAATCTAATCCACTCTCATGCTCATATATATATATATATATATAAACGCCGGTCCCCAACCTCGATCCCCCACTCTTCATTCATTTTCTGCTTCTCTTTCTCTTAATTCTTCCTCCAAATTCCGATCTATATTCGGCCGGCGGGCAGTAACATATACAAATTGAAATAAGAAAAATAATATGGAAAACGCGATCCAGGAGCTCCTGAGAGGACAGGAATTCACCTGCCAGCTGAAGCTGCTCCTAACCGTTGATTCCAGCCAATCATTCCTTGCTCGGAAAGGCGGATGCGCTCAAGACCTGGTCGGAAAGATCTTATCCACATTCACTCACACCATCTCGCTCCTCAACACTGCCACTGCTACAATTCCCAATGTCGACTCCTCCGATGAGGCCTCTCAGCTCTCTCACCTGGCTGGGCCCCGCAAGTCGTCCGACAGCTCCACCGCCGAAACTAGCACAAAGAAAAGGTAATAATTATTAATTAATTTAATTATAACCATTACTTGCCTAATTGATCATTATTACCTTTACTAATCTAATTAAGCTGTTTTTACTAATCTTATTCTTCCGCTAATTGCAGAAAGACAGCCGCAACATCCCAGGAATCGTGGGTTAAAGAGAGCCCGACCGTGGACGACGACGGATACGCGTGGAGGAAGTACGGGCAGAAGACCATTCTCAACTCCGACTTCTCCAGGCACTACTACAGGTGCACTTACAAGTTGGACCACAACTGCCCGGCCACCAAGCAGGTCCAAATGATTCAGGCCCGGCCCAGCCCGCTCTACCGGACCACCTACTCGGCCCACCACACCTGCACCCACTTCCGTACCCCCCACCGTTCTTCTCACCAACACTACTTCCTGGTGGACCCCGTCGATGATTCGTCCAACCGCAACAATATCATCAGCTTCAGCAGCAGCACAAACAGCATTAATACCCCTTTTCTCACCTCATTCTCCGCATCATCATCTGCTCCTCCGGTTGTGAGGCAGCAGCAAACGTCGTCGTCGAGCAACGCGGTCAGCTGTGGTCATCAACCGGCCCAAGACCGACCGGCGGTGTGCTCTGAGGGCGACGACGACTACGACGTGTTCTCCTCGCTTGTTGATGGCGACTTTGATCAAGAGTTGTCAGCTACAATATTTCATGACAACTGCGACAGCAGCAGCAGTGCTAGTTTCATGCGGATGATGATGATGCATTCCGGTGATGACCTCGGGGGCTTCTTGATTTAATTTGATGCCCCTTGCAGGCTGCAGTTGATTAGCGTCTTTTTTTTATTCCAACTTGTAGAAATTTGCAAGACATAAATACATACAGCTGTTTATGTAGAGTTAGATGCAGCGGTGTCATTTTTAAGTACGGCGAGGTTGCACGATGACGAGCTAAATTGTTTATGTTACAACTAAAATATATTAGTCAAATTTCAGTTGTACCATCGGTATTTTCGTCCCTATATTTCACTGTTATGTGCTAAATGGAAATTGTACGTACGTACCAAATGAGTAGTCCACTTCAACACATTTGTTGAGTCATGGGGCACTGAAAACCCGTGTCTTCTGTAAAATTTATTTGGACCGAGAGAAAACCCGAGCAGAGGGCGCGCAGGGGAGGTGAGCAGAGAAAATTCCAAAGCTCAATTCTTGAGCTACAGTAATCCAAAAATTCCGTAAGTAACGCCTAATCCATCTATACGTTGTAGTTTATCGATTTAGAGCTTTAAAACGAGTTTTTGATTCAGTAATTTCTTGAATTCCCGATAAGCCAAATTAGGGTTTCAGAGTATCCGGAAGTCGGATTGAGCCCAGATTTCATCATATACGAGCTTCCTGCAGCGAGGTAATTAATCCTCTGGTTCTAATCCATGAATTTTGACAATTATTTAGGTCGCGGTGCAAATCGCTGATTTTAGCTCCGACTAGGATTTGATGTGTTTTTATCGAGAATTTCACCCGGAGCCTAGAACTAACATTGACGGGGATACTGCAGGGGGTATTAGGAAAATCTCGGATTTTGATTCCGAGTTTGTTTGAGAAAAGTGAATTGGGATACGGGAGGCTAAAATCGGTGTTTGAACGACCAGAACTAGTGAGGGATTAGCACGGCATACCGGGTTTATCGTATCACGATAATTATATAAATTGATGCTTAGAATTGACCTAGGTGAACTAGAATGACATGATTCGGGGTGTATGAACTTTTGTGCTATATGATGAACCCTGGACTGCTGTATGATATTATTGACTTGCCCTAATTGATATGGATCTTGTTTATGCTGATGATTTCGTATATGTTGCAAATTGTGTGCTTGACTGTTGATATGCCTTATGATGGTTCGAGAAGGTGATTGGGTATGATTTTTCATGATTGATGTATTTGGATGTACAAGTGGGAAAATATATGTCCCATGGTGATATTTTGATGTTTTAGGAGGATGACTTGCACGAGGGTTTATCCTGAGGAAGTGCAATTATACGACTCCTGTTTTACCTATGTTGAGCCAATTATGGCCAGGTCAAGTACATGTACAAGTAAGGAATTATGAATAAGCAAGATGAGATATGAATCATGTATAAGGATATCAAATAAGAGTGATTTGGTCTCATGGTCAATTACATAGTAATTAGGGCTCCCCATGCTATTACTCCGCTATGATATGTTATGTTACACCCCTGATGTGGTGTTGACCGTTGATTCATCATGAGATATGACCACACCCAGAGTGGTGTCAGGTCCGATATGACTACACCGGCAGTGGTGGGTCCGATATGACCACATCCACGAGATGTTTGGTCCGTATTCCCGGGAGAGTAATTAACATGGGAGTAGCTAGGTGCCTATGATTAAAACATGATAAGATGCATATGCATAAGTCAAGGTGGTTGAGTCTTTTGCCTATTGGGATGTCGGATGACTGAGGTCTGATCCTAGTGCTTTGGCTTGTTTGCTAGATGTATGGTAGGGGTATGCTCTGTTATGAACTCACGATGCTATGATTATCTCACTCAGCTATGAGCTGACCCTTTTTTATTCCTTTCCTCTGCTTATACTATGTGTAAGCAGATCATCAGCAGTAGCAGTAGCAAGTACATAGGTGTGAGCAGAGTAAGGAGTTATAGGCAGAATGAGGTATTGTCTTCAACTATTCTGAGCTTGGACGAGTACTTGGGATTTTGGCCAGTGATCCACACCATTTTGTAAAAATGTTTTGAGAACGTTTTTCATGTGCATACTAGCTTCTGATGTAGTGTAAGATATGCACATGTATGGAAAGTTGATAATATGTGTATATTTGTGTAATTATGTAAGTTGTGACGATTAAGGCATGTATCAGTATGGTATGCAGTTGTCTAGTATGAAACTGTGACTATGGCTTTGAAAAGTCAATGCATATGGTTGTGAGTATATATGTTTGTCTATGAATGCATGGATTGAGATGAATTATTTTGCAGGATTAGATGGAAGAACTGTTAGCCCATTATGCGAGTAATTCATGTCAAAATTTTATTTGGGTAAATTTTGGTAATTAATGTAACACCCGAGATTATTTCTGCTGCAAAAGTATGAACAATATGATTAGGCAAAACGTGCAGGGTAGGATGTTACAATTTATTGTTGAAACTTGTTGCTTGAACAAGGATTTGACCCAATGGTGGTATCACTTTTGTTTTGAAATTGAAAGTTTCAGGTTCAAATTCGTTAAGTAGCATCTACTCAAAGGAGAAGGCAAAATGACATAGATTAAATTAAATTAAATTTAATCTATGTAACCATTTTCAAAAAAAAAAAAAAGGAGAAGGCAAAATGGTGTATTGTCTTCAACTATTCTATGCTTGGACGATTACTCGAAATTTTAGTCAGTGATCCACACTTTTTTGTAAAAAATATTTTGAGAATGTTTTTCATGTGCATACTAGTTTCTGACGTAGTGTGAGATATCAACATGACAACATGTGTGGAAGGTTGACTATATGTATATACGTGTGTGGTTATGTTTGTAGTGACAATTATGACATGTATAAGTATGATATGCCGTTGTGGAGTATGAAACTAGTACTATGACTATGAAAAATCACTCGAAAACTTATCAGAGAGAATGTATGTATTGGCATACCGAAATGTGGCAACATACAATTGTATTACCGGAAGAAATAACAATTTGTTGTTATTAACAGAAGAAAATATCTTTATTTTTAAAAAGAAAAGGACGGGAATAGAGGGGCATGATAAAGAATCACCTCGTATAGTCCAATTTTTGTTCTTCCTTCTCTGCTACAAAACAGATAAGATGAAGATTACTCGGTAATCAGAAGTACTAGAAGGAAGACTATTCAAATGTGTCATCCCGATAAGGAAAGGGACTGGGCGTTTGTCCTGTGGTCCTCTAGACACATACTACGTACGTCCAATAATCAGATGGAAGCTTACAAGTATATTCAAATGGAAGTAAACAAAAATGTGCAAACTAACTCCTACATAGCTGCTGCTGCGTGCAGCTTGGTCCATTTTATATATTGGTTACGCGTGGGGATGCATATATAGTCGGCAGAGCGTATTTTAAGGAAGTTTCAGGCCCAGGTTCACCATACTTTCCTTCTCTTTTCATCTCTCCCGCAATCCAAATCTAATCCAGTAGTCCATTTCCCCGCACGCACGCTTATAAATAGAAAGGCTTCCAACTCCATTCCCTCACTCTTGCCCAGACCGAGCTGAAATATAATTGAAACCAGAACAAAAGCATGGAAAGCGCGATCCAGGAGCTCCTAAAAGGTCGGGACTTCACCTGCCAGCTCAAGCTTCTCCTAACTGTTGCTTCCAACCAATCATTCCTCGCCCGCGAAGGCGGATGTGCAGAAGACCTGGTGGGGAAGATACTCTCCACCTTCACTCACACTATCTCGCTCTTGAGCACCACTGCTGCTACAACGACTGCGAATGTCGACTCCTCCGATGACGCCTCTGGGCCTCGCAAGTCAGAGAGCTCCTCTGCCGACAATAGCAGCAAGGCCTCCTACCGCAAGAAAAGGTAATCATTGTTAGCTTTACTTATTTAAGTTCTTTTACCATCCATGCACCCAAATTGGTACAACTTTAAGTAGTGATTTACAACTTTATTTTAACATACATAATTAACACAAGTAAGTGGTATAAGATCAATCTTTGAACATGGTACAATATAAGTTACGTTATTAGGACTAGTTGGTCCTTAACATGGTATCGGAGCATGATTTGTCATTGAGGTCACGTGTTCAAGTCGTCACGCGCCCTAATATTAACCGTTGTCTTAAAGCACATGGTATGGTGGACCTGTGCAAACTTCAAAGCCCGTGAGTTGGCTTTCCTTTGAAGGGAGCGTGAAAGAAAATGGTTAACTAGCTATAATACATGCACCTCTCTCAACCACTTGACTTATTGGGATCAACTCGTTTATGATATGTGTTATAAACGCGCTGCTACAGATTGGGAAATCGCCGGAATCGATAAAGCAAGAATACGAAAGCGAGAATCGAAAAAACACAGACACACGATTTACGTGGTTCACTAACACAATGTGTGTTAGCTAGTCCACGAGCGAGATAGAGCCAGTTTCACTATATCGAGGTGATTACAGATTACAGAGGAGTATGAGAAGTATTTATATCCATGGGGTCTAAACCTAATCCAATCTGGCAAAGGAAACGGTGACAGACCAGGCCCAGAACCCGAACCCAAATAACATTGAGCCGATACACCGTGGGCCGGGGGCGTTGCCCCCGCACCTCCACCGGGGCGTTGCCCCTTGACCCCATTCATTGATAGTTCGTAGCGGCTGATAGTCCGATTCAAGTCACATCAACAATATGGTATCAGAGCTTTATGTGATTATCGAAATGTCTTGTGTTTGAATCCCGCCAACTCCCATTCGTGAAACGCGTAACACATGATATTCTTGTGTTCAGTACCTGTGCAAACGAAGGCTCTCTTATGAGTTGATTGGCATTCATTTTATTAGTTAGTGGTATAAAATATATTATTCAACCTCTTGGTTTGAAATCCCCCCCCCCCCCCCCCCCCCCCCCCCCCCCCCCCCCCCCCCCCCCCCCCCCCCCCCCCCCCCCCCCCCCCCCCCCCCCCCCCCCCCCCCCCCCCCCCCCCCCCCCCCCCCCCCCCCCCCCCCCCCCCCCCCCCCCCCCCCCCCCCCCCCCCCCCCCCCCCCCCCCCCCCCCCCCCCCCCCCCCCCCCCCCCCCCCCCCCC